CTATTCAACGGAGTTACTGTATGACCCAGCAATTGGACTCCTAGGTTTATATTCAGGAAAAATGAAAACATGTCCATAACAAAAACTTGACACAAATATTCACAGCACCTTTACTCATAATAATCAAAACAAATAGAGCAACTCAAATTTTGAATTGATGAACAGATAAACAAAACAATGGTATATCAGTACACTGGAATATTATTTGTAATAAAAAGAAATGAAGTACTGATGCATGTTATACATTCATAAGCCCCCCTCCCAAAAAAGAAGTCAGTCACAAAAGACCACATAATATATGGTTCCCTTTATATGAAACATTTAGAATACACAAGTTTACACAGACATAAGATTAGTGGTTGTCAAAGAGAAGAAGGGGTAGGGTGGGAATGATTGCTAACTGGGTTTCTTTTAGGGATAATGCAAATGTTTCAAAATTGTGGTGATGGTTGCACTCTGTAAATGCACTAAAAACTATTAACTAGTATACTTTAAATGGTGAAATTTACGATAAGTGAATCATCATCTCAATAAAGATGTTAAAACAACAACAAAAAGATGCTGACCAGTGGTTATGAGACCATGAGAATCTTACTCTGGATCACTCACTTCTAGATGTCTTCTTGGCACTGTCTATACAGCACAGACATATATGGGCAAGAGTAACCTTCCTCCACCTGGGTTTGGGAGGTAGTAAGCAAAATTATAGCACCTCCTCAGACAACCATCTGGTCAGCATGATGCAAGTTTTTGTTATTTTTGGAAGGCAGTACTGCGATATGCTTGTGCCCTAACCTGCTGGTTGGGCCCATGAAGTCTGTAGTGGATAGCGCTCAGGGCAGCAGTGTTCCTGTTTGCTGAGTGAGCAGGAAAGGGACCTAAAACTGCAAAGCAGAATGCTCACAGCACAGCTCAGAAAATTTCCTTGTGACAAAACATATGCACAACGCTGAGCAAAGTCTTCCTCACTCCTGAGCTCCTCTCTTCCTCCTACCCCCAAATAGAGTCTGCTATTCTAGGTCAACATACTTTAAATATAGGTGCATTATGAATCAGCTAGAATTATATAATGATCAAGCAGGAAGGACCTTTCAAAGTATTATGTAATGGAGCAATGACTCTGAAGCCACTTACTAACCGTGTGACCTTGGGCCAGTTCCTTCACTTTCTGTGTCTCAGTATCTTCATCTGGAAAATGGGAATAATAAAGGCAACTGCTCCTTAAAATTGCCATGGAGATTAAATGAGTTAATCCATGTAAAATGTTTAGAATAATGCCTGGAACATTATTGAGTCTTTTACTATTTTTATAATTTTTAACTGGTAAATCTCATCATTTTTACAGAGGAAGATGCTAAGCTCAGAATGGAAAAGCGACTCTGAAGCTGGCAGTGACAGAGCTGGTATCAGCGGACTCCTCAACTAGAGCTCTACTGTAGAGCATTCATTTACAACCGAGCATATGTAATATTCCTTGACCAACTTTTAGGGCATGAAAGATACAAATAACAAACATACAATGCTTAGCTCTGCATCTCAAACAGTACAGGTGCTTGTGAAATGTCTGATCCATTTCCTCTTTATTCCAGGTTTAATCTAAGAGTTGAAGAGACGACTTGACACTAAATCCCAGAAAGTCCAATGTTCTGATGCTTAAAAAGTGGTATGGTTTAGGGCTGTTGAAGAAGAAAATACACATAAGCTCTCACTTTCTCTCGCTCTTTTTTTTTTTTTTCTTCCATTTTCCTTTTAAGGAGCACAGGGTACCTGAATATAATACCTAGCATACTAGGAAAAGGGACTGCTTCTATTTCTGTAGTTTAGCACTATACTCATGCAAACAATTTAGATGTTATTCTCAGGGCTTGATGATGCCTCCAACTTCCAGTAATTGATACCTACCAGTTTATCTCAAGAGGCAAGAGAAACTCACAAAATACAGTATTTAGCAAAATACAATAAATGCAATCAAAGTAAGCTTTTAAACAATCTCATCATCATCTCTCTCTCTTTCACACGCTCCAACTACTCCACAGTGTTCAAACCAGCGTAAGAGGCCCTGCAGGGGCCTGTGGAGCTTCCTACAGACTCCTGCAGCCTTGCTGGAACCCTAGCCTCACTCTAAACTCTGCAGCCATGTGGGTCTTCTTTCCTTTCCTCACTTGCCTCTCTCTTTGCTGCTTTGGGGCCTTTATACAGACATTCCCTGTAGCTAAAAATTCTTTGCAACCTCCAGTTGCAGCTCTGCCTTGGCCTTGCTAACTAGCTTCTATTTATCCTTCAGGCTCTGCTTATATTTTTTCTTCAGAGAAGCCTTCCCCAATGACACAGACTAGCTTTTCTCCTTCACCTTCCCCCAAATCACACACGCTTGGAACATGCTTCTAAGTACTTATTCAACGAATGTCTCTCTCCCTATAAGCTCAAGGAAGGCTGGGATTGTGTCTCTTACTCAGTGTTGCTTGCCCTGTGGTTAACACAGTGCCCAGGACACCGCAGGTGCTGAATGAAATTAACAATGTCCTCCAAGTAGTCAAAGGATCAGCAAATAAACTGATTTCTTAACTGGTCCACTCAACTTTGACAAAAGATTTCCATATCAAGCTGTGGGCATGACAAAATTACACAAGCAGGTATGATTTAGAGAAAAGTTCAGAATGAACAAAAACTGGAGTTTGGATTATATGTATTTTAAAATTACTACATGCAAAACCTTAATACAAAATATTACTTTTAGAAACAAGCTTCATGGGGTGCCTGTGTGGCTCAGGTCATGATCCCAGGGGCCTGGAATAAAGCCCTGTGTCGCACCCCATGCCAGGCTTCCTGCTCAGTACGTAGCCGGCTTCTATCTGTCCTGCTCCCTTTGCTTGTGTGCTCTCTCTATCAAATGAATGAACAAAATCTTAAAAACAACAACAATCACACTATGCTCTTTTGGGAGACTAACTCACATAGGAGGGTAGAAGAAACTAGAATGCATTTGTTCCTCCTAGGCCATACTGCTCCTTTCTGAAGCAAATTGATGTCCTGATGAAAGACAATGTGTTGAAACATAACTGTAAGTATATTCAGGAAAAGTACCCAGCGGTGTGGTGGGGTTCTATGAACAGTGTGACCACAATGAGGAGGCACCTGATTCAAGGGAACAAGCAGCATGATATAAGGACAGTTGCCTTTGGCAATGGCTCCAGCCCCCTTTTTTTTAGGGCTTCCACCCTGGCACACTAGCAGAATTTGCTTGGGGCAGGGAAAAAAAAAGACTTTTCCAACAGGACAGATGGTACAAGCATCACATGATAAAGATTCCAAAAGATCCTTCTAGAGGAATTTCAATTTATTGAAAGATACATAACAACAGTTGGGGGGGTGGTGGTAAAAATGGCATTTCACAACAGGAAGCAGGTACTGTACCCAGAGATTAACCTTTCCATATAAATGAGGAGAGGAAGAAAGGTGAAGCAAAAAAAAAAAAAAAGGGGGGGTGTGGAGAGGAGGTAGAAGAAAAGAAAGATGAGTATTCAGGATGAAAGAAAAAAAGTTAAAAAGCAAGTGTGATGGAAAGGACTGAAAGACCAGGAACTAAAATTACTTTAGGACATAAGAGCCATACATCTCAGGAATTGGAGATACCTCAAAGGAAAATTACCTGATCAAGCATGTTCCCTTTAGCTTACAAGTGTTAACCAGCATTAGACATTCACCAAAGTCCAGCCACGAGTTATCCACATCTAGTTTAATCATCTGACATCAAAGAAAGTCCTCAAAAGCAAAGGCAAGATCTTCTAACACTTCTCCTCACTCAGCCTCTACTAATGATTATTAGAAAAATAAACAGGACTCACTCCTAACCATAGTTTGCATAAGGAAGAGATTCTGGGTACACCCAACAGGTGCACTTTTGGCTGTGCTAGGTAACCTCATCAAAGTCATTATGCCAACTGATCCTCCCAGACACATCAGTCCTTAAACCACCCCAGAGCATCAGCACACTATAACGTTTAAAAAACTGTTCTATCAAAGAAAGGGTGGGACAATATATCTCTCCCACCATAAGAGATACTGGGAATATCTTTGGTTTCAAATACAGTGCTATTAAAATTAATAAGTGTCCAGCTCATTTTCCACAACAAAGTTTAGTTCCCAAAAGGTGAGTAACACAAGTTTCCAGCAAGCAAAAGACTTTTACTAAGCATTGGTTGCACAAATGAAAAAAAAAAAAAAAAAAAAAAAGCCAGTTCTGAATCATATTCACAGTTGGAGAATAGTTATGACCTTCCAAGATACGAAATAAAGTACTTCCATACATTGGAAACGGTGCGGGGTACTATTTTTAAGCCATTCTGCTCAGCAGTGCAACAAAACAGTTGCTACGGTTTCATTTTATGGTAATTTGTGAGTCTGTAAAACAAAAAGAATGCTCAGTGAGAAAAGCAAAAACCGTGTACATACTTTGGAGCGTTCAAACTGTTGAGATGGCACTCTTGATACCTTGGTCCGCCCAGCTGACTCCGAAGGTGACAGAAGGAAAGTGTTTGCACTGGGAACTTTGTTTGAAAAAGGGACCTTTTACCTCCGGAATTCCAGCTCACCTTCGGCATTCATTTGAAACCTTCCAACCTATCTGCTGGCCGGGCGAGACCAGCTCCTTGGCCAGAATTCGACAGACTCCCAGAATACCCCACTGCGGAAGGCAGCGGCCCCCTCCCCTGACACCGAGGGCATCCTGCCTTTCAAGTCACCCCAAAGCTCAGTATTTCATAGCTTCTCCTGAAGCGAAAGGGCAGCCAAGGCCCTCATCGAGTCCCAACAGAGGTCTGTGTCCGAACAGCATGGGTGACACGGTCCTGTGAGAATACCTTTGGGTAAATACTCCCTGCCCATGCAGGCCTCTCTGGTTTCAGGAGGGACCATGACCCCGACCCCCAGGACTCGCGTCCCGACACCGCCCTCCGGCCGCTCAAACAAAGGACCCGGCGTCTGGCGCGCCCCCCACTCACCGCTCAGATAGTTGGTCCACTTGTACAGCACCCCCTCCATGGCGCCCGAGGCCCCTTAGTCCCCGCCGCGCCAGGGCCGTTTCCCCTCGCCCGCCGGCACCTCACTGCCCCAAGCCCCAGGAGGCGAGGAGCACCGGCAGCAGGGCCATCGCCCAGCGCTGCCGAGCCGCCGACTCCCGGCGCCCGGGCCCGGTGCGGGGACGACCAGCCAGTCTCACATCCTCGGCCCGGGGGCGGGGTCACTGCGGCTGCCTCGGCACGGGAGGAAGCGGCTAGCCAGGGGGCCCGCGAGGTGGAGCCGGCGCACTGTCCACGAGGAGGCCAAGGCACCCTGTGGGCCCGAGTGGTGTGGCTGCAGCCTCCAAGTTGCCGCTAGCGAGGCAGCGGGTCGCAGGCGGTGCAACCGCAAGCTACCTGAGTCCCCGACCCGCCGGGCCCGGGGCCCGCTTGCGCATGCCCAGGGCGCTGTCCGCGCGCACGTTCCTAAAATCCACTCCCGGGTTTGGCAGCAACCGCGGCGGCGGCGGCGGCGGCAGGGCTGACGTAGCGGGAGGGTCTGGCAGGGAAATTGAGTCCTGGGAGGCGGGATTGGGAGTAAGCGAAGGGTCTGAGGGAAGGATCAGTATGGCATACAATCATGTTAATGGTACCGTAGATTGAGAAGAACCCACCACTCGGTATTTGGGGGTCAATGTGACCCCTTGGGGTGCCTCCTGCGTTCTACTTCCCAGGGTCCAATTCTTATTTCAAGGGTAATTAATCCCACAAAATCGACCTAGCCAGCAAGAGCCTACAGAGTTGCTGGGAATTTCACAATAGGATACCGTGAGGCTAGTAAACATGCTGTCTAAACCCTAAGGCCTCGCTGCTGGAAGTGTGATCCATGGACAGCGGCACTGGCGGCACCTACGAGTTTGTCAAAACCGCAGGATCTCACCCCCAGCCCAGGACTCCTGAGTCGAAATCTGCATTTAACAAGATTCTCCGAGGGATTCCTAAGCATATTAAAGTGTGAGAAAGTACTGTGCTAAGGATATTTGGCCAGGGAAAATGTTAACAACAGATTAAGTGGAAAGAGTAGAGTACGAAACAAAGTGTACAATCTGGTCCAAATTATTTTAGGTTATGTCAGGGAAGCATGCACCAAAAATGTTAAGGTGATTATTTGTAGATGGTGGCGCTATAGACGATCTTTTTTTCTCTCTCTTTTTCTTTAGCATAAGATTGCCAGATTTAGCATTTAAAATACAGAACGATGGATTCGTTATTTCCTGAAATTCATATTTAATTCGACTCCTGTATTTTAACTGGAAAAGCTACTTTCGTGTTTCCAGTCTCTTCCAAATCGACCATAACGAACGTTTTGCTTTTGAAATTAGGCTAAAAAGGTAAAGCTAGTAATTTTAAGCTAAGATAAGCCCATGTACCTCATCACCGTGATGACTTTCTTTTTTAAAGTGGAGGTCTGCGCCTCCTTATCCACGATAGAATCTCATTGACCCTCTACACTACGGTTACCACCTTGTGATAAATATTAGCAGCCATAACATTACGCGGCGTTGTAGAACGCATCGGATCGGGTTTGAGGGCGGAGCTCAACTGCTTTGAGGCTGAACAACTTTAAACGGGACCTTAACCTCTCCCAACCCAGATATACTTATAATTTAACTGGGATTAAAGAACCTGCTTTACCCGCAGTGCTGTGAGGTGTACGCACGGGAACGCAACGCGCTCTGCGAACCCTACAGAACTATTAAAGTCTTTATCGTCTATACGGTAAATTAAATAATCGCATTAGCAGGAGGGTGGAATCCTGGGGGCGGCCTCTCAGCATCTGCGAAAGTAAACGAGTGTTTCCGGAAACCGCTAACCTTTCACCCGGCCCAGTACTCTTCCCAGGAAGCTGAGCCCGCATATTTTACAGATGTAAATCGGCCGGAGGAGTTTCCGGTTAGCCCCGCGCGTCTCCTGGTCCCCAGAAGTCCGACGTTGTGAAATTCTTTAATCCGCCGAACTCTAGGACCACTCCCTGCGGTTCGCTGCCAGACCCGCGGACAGCTCCGCCCAGCTGTAATTGTTGCAGCATCATTGGTTTGAGGGTCTCCAGCGGACAGCACCGTAAGCCAATGGGAAGTCGTCTTTCTCCGGCGGCCGAGCTATGTAAGCCAGTCAGACCCGTGTTTGGAGTTTAACTCTTTAGAGGTGGGTTCGCCCTGCGTGGGAAAGTTACAGTGAATGTGCCACGTCTGCTAGGATCAGGGAGTCATGAACGTGCCAGAGGCCGTTGTCCTTAAGCCTTCAGCTATATTCCTAGCTCTATGAAGTCGGGGGTCCTTTCTCTGTTTTTGTGGGAACTTCTTTCCAGCTCCAGCAACATGAGGCTTTTCTTGTGGAACGCGGTGTTGACGCTGTCGGTCACTTCTTTGAGCGGGGCTCTGATCCCTGAACCAGAAGTGAAAATTGAGGTGCTCCAGAAACCTTTCATCTGCCATCGCAAGACCAAAGGGGGGGATTTGATGTTGGTGCACTATGAAGGTTACTTAGAAAAGGATGGCTCCTTATTTCACTCCACGTAAGTAATTGTATCCTGAAGGCGAAGTAGTGAAGAACCCACCCACCTATGCCAGACCTCGGGCAGGAAAGGTAGCCTGTACCAGGTTTCACCTCTCTTAAAAAAAAAAAAAAAGGCAATATATTATTTCCTTCTTTGGGAAAGGAAATTGTTTAACCACAATCTTTTATGACGGGGCCTGTGAAGTTCTTATTGGAAATGTGGTAAGGATAAAGGGTTAATTTTTTATTATAAAAATTCGCGCTAGAATCTTTGAAATACTGCAGAAATATCTAGATGTATAGTTAGGCGGTACGTAGGAAAAAAAAAAAAAAAAAGAAATTCTTGTTTTTCATACTTCATTCCCGAGGGAAGAAGGTCTCAATTCCATTTTTTATTTGGTGTAGGTGAAATTTACTTAAAACTTTTCACAGCGACTTCATGAGACACATACACATTTATTTGCTTGTTGTAGGGTATGCTAATCCTAGTCCATTGGTCTATTTAATCTTTGTACTTACAGATAACATTTTGGTCAAGGCACAGTACCATGATTTGTTTCATTATTTGTTTCTTTCTAGAAATTCAAAGACTTCATTGATGGGTGTGGGTGTGGTTATGGAAGATTAATCCAATACCTACAGGGAAGGATTTTCAGGTGGTTACACTATCATTATTTCTGTTCTATAAACAAAGAAATTGCAACATGGAAAAGTTTTACAAGTGTACTGATTTCTAATTAAGCATTGATTGTCTTCATTCCATTCCAAAAGTGTTTATTGAGCATTTCTTTTATGTTAGGCCTTGTGCTTGATACTAGGGAGATTAAAAATTTTTTGCTTCTCCATCCTTGTCCATTCATTTATCTGTCCATCTAACAAACCTTTGTCGAGTGGCCACAAGTCAGGCCTTGAGGATGCAAAGATGATTAAGAGTGGATCCTTGTCCTTCAGCAGAACATCATCTACAGAGGGGAGGAAGACAAGTCAGTAACTCATGCTATATAGTACAGAATGTTCAGATGTTCACAAGGCATAGTGGAGCCTTATTTATGCTCTGAGAGGTGGACAAAAAGAAAGACTTTTCAGAGACCATAATTGAGATGGGCCTTGAAAGATGGGTGGAAGATTCCTTCCAGTGGAGAATGGGGGCAGAGAGGACATGCCAGGTAGAGAATGGCATGAACTAAAGAAGTGCAACTTTGTGGCCCTTCCTGGATCTGATTTTTGATGACCTGCCATCATTGAGCATTCAGTCCTGGTCTGTCTTTAAAGAAGTGAATGGCACCCTTCTTTGAACTCTGTTAGCCCTTCTAAAACTTTCCAAAACAGTGGCTTGCCATAGAATTCTCAACAGCTCTGTCTTCTTATCCACAAAGCCAGTACCACAGTGAAGGTTAAACAATATTAAGGTTTGTGTTTTAAATTTTCTATCACATCTTTATTTTTAGTTCGATGTTGACACAGCCTGATTTCTTTCAGGTCTCAGAACTTATGTGGACTTTGATGCTAGCCATAAGACATTATTTAGCAGTTTGCTACTAAAGTTATAGTATCCGATGAGGGGACTGTTGTCATGTGGCCTCAGTGTAAATGGTCAGGAACTTCTCACCCCGAGTATTGTGACCATCAGATGGTCCACCGTAAAGCACATTTGCCATTTCTAGAACGATAGCCTTGTGGTGAATAGCTTAAATCCTTTAGCTGTGAAAATAAATGTGTTCAAACTGTAGTCAGTGCTGGGTGGCAGATTGTTTTCTTCCTACTTTATTCTTTTCTAGCCTTCCCAAGTGTTCTACAGTTGGCAGTTTGTTTCTTTAGTAATGGGGGGAAATTAAGGAAAAGAGGAAGTAATGGCCTTTACCTGGATTTAGTAACTAACCTTGGTGCCCATGAAACCTAGCAGTGTTGTTTCTTGTTCTCACCTCTAAGATATCTTTGAGAACACTTTCCTTATTACACTGAAGGGAGCTATTTGGGGCTCAGGTCCTGCTCAGCCCACAAGCCCCCTAGCAGCTTGCCAGCTGTTTTCTTAGGCTGGCCTCTCTCCAGCTCATGAGCCAGGATACTTTGACTATTTCGTTCTCCCTCAGTCTTTGAGGGACCACTCCTCCAGGCTTCCCTGCAGAGCCCCACAGAAGATGCCTGCAGCCAGCATCTAGGGGTTCAGGGTTGAAGAACAGCCTTTTCCATCTATCAGAGCCATCACCAGGCTGTACATCAGGACAGTTTGTGGGTAAGCTAGAAGGTACTGTGCTCCTGACTCTCCAGTGTCCATGTGGGTATGGACCCATGTGTCTTGGCAGTAAATTCTCCTTAGCTTCTCATCTTCCTTCCCCAACTCTCCCATTTTCCATTATTTTTCCCTCTTTTGCCCCCTTACAATTTTCCTGGGACAGCATCCCTGTGGTTAAGACCTGAACTTTGGAGTTGGATTATATACTGGCACACTTCAGTTTCTTCCTCTGTACAATGGGCGGGTGGGGGGGGGGGATAATGGTACTTACTTCATATGGACATTGTTAGAGTTAAAAGAAGCAAAGCATTTAGGGTAATACCTGGTACACAAAAAATCACAAATAGTTATTAACTGTTTTATTATTATTCCCTCTGCCCTTCTCTATCTGAGTCAATTGTGTGAAATTTGTGTCAAGAAATATGGGCAGTGAATTACAAAATTGACTTGGTTTTTGTGTATGTATATAACTGTTTTTGTTAATTTCCAAATTTAATCACTTATGGGTAGAAAAAATATATACCACAGCAATAAATAAAGTTTCTAAACAGTTCTAATGTGTTGTTGTTGTTGTTGTTTTCTGTTGTAGTCACAAACATAACAATGGTCAGCCCATTTGGTTTACCTTGGGCATCCTGGAGGCTCTCAAAGGTTGGGACCAGGGCTTGAAGGGAATGTGTGTAGGAGAGAAGAGAAAGCTCACCATTCCTCCTGCCCTGGGCTATGGAAAAGAAGGAAAAGGTAATAACAATTCTACCTTTTTACTATAGCATTGGAGTTCTTCTCTGGATTAGGAGACCGAAATCAAAGTAACTACTATATGTTTTTTTTTCCCCCCTAAAAGTAAGTAGAGGATGTGTATTTTTTTGGGAAGTGTGATTGTGTCTTGATTATCATTTGAAATGGTCAAATTAAAGTCATTATATCTTAATAGTCAATTGAGTTAATGATAAAAAGTTCTGGAACCTTCAACTCTATCATTAACAATTAACCACCATATTAACCCAAATAATGGTTTTTGGTTTTTTTTTTTAATTGTGGCACAGTACCCATAACATAATGTTTACTATTTTAACCATTTTTTAAGTGTACAGGTCAGTGACACTATGAACGTTCTCAAATGGCTGTACAAGCATCACCACTATCGACTTCCAGAACTTTTTCATCCTCTCCAGCTGAAACTCATCGACTTATTTTGACAATGCAAAAAGAAAGATTATTCAACAGACATGTTTTGATGAGTTGAACATGTAAAATGTAGATGGTTAAGGTATTGAATGAGGGTTAGATGTGGACTGCTGGTGACTTACAACTGAAGTTTTATACAACAAAGGGTTTTTTTTTTTTTTTTTTTGGAAGTTGTTTTCACTCTTATTTTAAAGTTGTTTTATAACTTTTTAAACATTCATTTATAAAAACTAATGGAGTGCGGGAGCACCTGGGTGGCTCAGTGGGTTAAGCCTCTGCCTTTGGCTCAGGTCATGATCTCAGGGTCCTGGGATTGAGCCCCGCATCAGGCTCTCTGCTCAGTGGAGAGCCTGCTTCCCTCTCTCTCTACCTGCCTCTCTGCCTACTTGTGATCTCTCTCTCTCTGTCAAATAAATAAAATCTTAAAAAAAAAAAAAAGAAAAGAGAAAACGAATGGAGTGACATAGAATGAGTTTAATAAAACAGAAGCAAATGGGCTAGCTTATTCCAGGAGATTTTGTGCTAGTTTGTTGCCAGGCAGGCGCGCATGCTCATGGTTGGTATGGGCTATTTACAAGAGGCCAGATGATGTTTCCTGTATAGGATATGCACATGTCCTGTATTTCCTCTCTAGTTTTTTTCTTTTTTTTTTTTTAGATTTTTTTTTTAATTTATTTATTTGACAAACAGGCAGAGAGGTTTGGCAGAACTTTTTTTTTTTAAGATTTTTTTATTTTTTAATTTATTTATCCTCTCTAGTTTAACGTAAGGGAATAATCAGGTGTCAGGAGAAAGATTCATGAACAGCGATGTCCAGTACTACATTGTTTCTAATAGCAAAAATACCTGGAAACAACTTCAGTGGATAATGAGAAGGCTTTAGCTAAATAAAATAGGGCCCAGTTATTTAAAAATGGCAATTCAAAGATTAAAAAAAAATTATATCCAAGTGTCTATGATATAATGTTACATGTAAAAGTGGAAAATAAAGCTGTGGTATATGCAAGAGTAAGTATTAGGAAAAAGTATATACACATATACAGTGAATCACAAGGAAATAATAAAGAATGGTGACAGTGGATGGCTGGGAATTATTTTTATTTCTGGTTCTGTCTCTTCCAAATTGCCTACAATGGGAATATATTACATAATGAAGGAAAAAATTATTTTTTAAAGGATTTATCTATTTTAGGGAGAGAGAGAGTACACATGCATGAGTGAGTAGGGGGAGGGGCAGAGGAAGAGAATCTCAGGCAGACTCCCGGCTGAGCATGGAGCCCTCCCCAGGAGTTGATCTTATGCTCTCATGAGCTGAAACCAAGAATGAGACTCTTAGTGGACTGAACCACCCAGATGCCCACCCCCACCCCCCAAATAATATTGAGTAGTCATCAGATCCAGACAGGGAACCACTCTGATTCTATAGAGTCAGATTCTATAGAATCCTCTTATTCTACAGACTGCACAGTATCCTTAGGTCTAAGCTTAACCATTCACAAAGTGAGAATCCTAGCCCCAGTTTCCTGAGAAGAAAGTAAGTGCCATCTGTGAAGCATTGTATGGTCTAAAATGGAACTTGCTATATAAATCTTATGCACAGAATGGGATTTACTAACCAAATTCAATTCTTATTTCAATAATCTCTTTAGAGTAGAAAATCAAGTATTTAGAAAATGTTTCTCTGGGGGCACCTGGGTGGCTCAGTGGGTTAAAACCTCTGCCTTCAGCTCAGGTCATGATCCCAGAGTCTTGGGATCGAGCCCTGCATCGGGCTCTCCGCTCAGCGGGGAGCCTGCTTTCCCCCTTTCTCTCTGCCTGCCTCTCTGCCTACTTGTGATCTCTTTCTGTCAAATAAATAAAATCTTTAAAAAACAAAAAAAGAAAGAAAATGTTTCTCTGATGTTCAGATGTATTCTTTTACCTTCCCTCTGTATCTTTATTGTCTCACCTTTAATGTAGAGGTAGTATTAGTCCGTTATTCTTTCTCCATACTGTCTTTAACTCAATTTTACTTTATAACAGGTAGAGATCTAAATTTGAGTCATTTCCTCCAAACTGAGAGCCGTGAAACTAACTGTGCTAATATGTTTTTAACACTAATTTTGTAGTCCTTTGGTACCACGTTTGCATGCCTCTGGAAAGACACCAGTTTTTTCAACGACCTAGTATATGCCCCTTCTCTGTCTAGATCTGGAATGGTAAGCTTGGGCACACAGTGTAAGTTTGTTCTTTTTAATACTTAACAAATGATCTTTCATAAAAATATGTGGGATTTGGGTGGGTGGGTGGAGGGGGACTAAGAAATATTTGTAATGTTTACCCAGACCTGTATGTTAAATATAGTTATAAGGAAATAAGTTGAAAAAAAATTGTATTTCCCAGAAAGTTTTTTTTTAAGGTCCCTGGGACTTTAACAAAGCTCTTTTCATTTTTAAAGATTTTTATCTCCCTTCTCAGAAATTTGTTTTAATTTCTTCTCTAATGAAATTTTTTCAAAATAGGTATAATGTTCTATATCAGAGGGGGTGTTGCCTAACTTTCTGAAATTGTTGAAACTTTCTGTATTGTTTTTAAGCCTGTAGGAGAATTCTGTCTTATTATTATATACTGACAGTTCACTATTTATCGAGTATTATGCTAAATATTTTTCATGGATTTATCTTCCTTCATCCTCCCGACAGATTCTGCATTTTTCAGATGAGGAAATAGGCTTAAACCAGGGCAGGAGTAGGCTTTAATGCCAGCTAGTGTGACTCCAGTTCTCACTCAGCTCGATACTGCCTCCCAGTGGTCAAAATGGCAGGACTGTATATTCTAGGTCAGGACTTTAGGTGACCCCCAAATTAGTAAATCACTTGTACTATAATTATAACTCTGAATTATCTAAAGCCCTTTAAGTCATTCTTGCATGTAATACGTAATATATTAATTATATTTGAAACAATACCAGGCCACTGGGTATATCTATATGTATGTGTATGCTTGTGTGCACAACACAATTTGTAATTGCAAAGTCAGAAACAGACTGCTTTTGATCTACTACTTTGGATTATTCCTTCTCTATTCTATTTACTTGAGTAAAATATAATTATAAAATAATTTATGTGTGATAATGTTAGGAAGGCTCTTCATTTAATTCAATCAAGAGAATATTTTTCAGTGTCATAAGTTTTCTGTCATAAAAACTCTGAGATTGTTTAAATAAAAGTTAACCTCCCTCTCTTATGTCAGGTAAAATTCCCCCAGAGAGTACACTGATATTCAACATCGATCTCCTGGAGATTCGAAATGGACCAAGATCCCATGAGTCATTCCAAGAAATGGATCTTAATGATGACTGGAAACTCTCTAAAGCTGAGGTGATCTTTCCTTCCTCATATTCCTTTCTTTCTTTGTTTCTTTCCTCTCACTTTTTAAAAAATATATTTTTAGTGAAAATTTATTTTTACTTGGATAAAATATTTATAAGCGTTTTAAAAATACTAATGCTTTGAATGTTGGCTTTTTTTTTTTTTTTTTTTAAATAGGAAATCCTTGTTTTGGAGAGAAATATATTGAGACTTAGGAAACATCATTCATTCTTTTGCCCCCGCCCCCCCTCATCCGCACCATATTTAAGTTTCACTGTATCTTGCCCTCACCCTGAGTTTTTGAAAGATCCATTTTGCTAAGACAATTCCCATTTTGGAATTGCTATATAAGAAACATAGATGTCATGAGAAATATCTCATGTTGATGGTTTCTGTTTAGAACTATAAACTGGCTGTTAAATGTACTTGTAATTTCCTAGCAATTAACCGCAAACAACCCACATGCTGTTTTGTTCTGGTTCACACCTGGAAGAACCAGACCTTTCTCAGCCCCCTCTTAATCCTGATATCTGAGTAAGGAGAAAGCAAGAAGTCTTCTAACATTTATTTGGGCTTTTGCAACCATTTTTACACTACCTGTCTTGGTCTGGCAGCTGTGGGGAAAGAAGTGGAGGTAGATATCTGCTCTGTGTTTTTCTGCTTGCCCATGTTCTCCATCTTCCCTTGTCTGGCCAGAAATCAAGTGCCTTTTTATGTTTTGATCAATTTCACTCTAATGGCCAGGAAATGATTAAGTCTTAAATAAGTACAGTTGTTAGGAACTCACAGAGTCATGAGCTACAGTAACTCAATTTATAACACGTCATATTATTACCAGTCATAGGACTGTTTTCTGTCCAAGATCAATTTTAATTACCTTTCATTAAAAAAAAATCTTAAATATGCTGTGAAGTGTGTAAACCTGGCGATTCACAGACCTGTACCCCTGGGGCTAAAAATACGTTGTATGTTTATTAAAAAATTTAAAAATTTAGTAAAAAAAAAGGTGAAAAAAATCTTAAATATACAACACCTTCACATGGTTCAAAAAAAATCAATCCAGTTAAAAAAGGTGTTTAATAGGAAGTCTTTCTCCCACCCACATCCTATTCTATTGTGTGATCTTTCCCCTTGTGCATGCAGTTTTATTGGGTTCTAATGTATCTTTCTAGTGTTTATGCAACTATAAACAAACATGAATACATTTTCCTATTTCCCCTTTTCTTACACAAAAAGTAGCATGATATACATAATATTTGGCATCTTGCTTTATTTGCAGTGAATCCTAGAGATATATTCTATATTAATCCATGTAGCTTTACTCTTTTTTTTTTTTTTTTTTTGCAACTTCATTAAATCTCCCGAATCTTAAAAGTAAATGTATGTCATATGTTTATATGTTGGCCGTAAGGGGGGAAAGGATTTGAAATTACTTATCTAACAGAAGGAGTCCTAGAGATCTGATGAGAAATGAAAATGCAGGTTGAACTGCATTATGGTGTATCTAGTGAGTAATTAAGAGCAGCATTATGTTTTTATCCTTACATGTCTGAACGAGAGTGGAAAATTTTAATCTAAGCACTCATAAGGCTGGATTTTGCTTTAATTTCCGAGATTGGAAGGTCATAAGGCCTGATCCTACTCAGGTCCACAGCATGTACTATTAGCAAACACTTACTTAAATTAAAAATGCTGTTAGGAGAGGGGAGAGGCAGGTGGGGGATGGGTGAAATAACTGAAGGGGGTTAAAAATACACTTACCATGATGGGCACTGAGTGATGTATAGAAGTATTGACTCACTCACTATATTGTACATCTGAAACTAATGTAATACTGTATGTTATACTGGATTTTTTGTAAATAAAAAAAAAATTTTAATTCTAAAAAATAACTTTAAAAAATGTCATCCTTTAATCTTATTTTAGTAGAAATATCTGTAATTCTGACCCTAGTTAGAAAATGAGATCTGGAAAATTCAATGGAGTGGAAGACCACAGCCTTTCAAATGCTTGGCTTTATTTAGACTCCAATTAAGAATAGATAATATGCTTTCACCGGGTGTTTTTCAGATAATATAAGCCTTATCTTTGCCTCTGAGCAATATTCTGTGTCTCTACTGTAACAGTATAGCAACAGTTTTTAATGGGAGAAAATTCCTTATAATTCTTTTATTGTCATTAGAAATATATGGTAGCTGTTTAGTCATTGCTATATATAATCAAATGAACTACCAGTCCACTCTGTGATATTAACTGGCTTGATGTGGGTATCTTATGAATTAGAATTATTAATGAGACCCATTATTTTGTAGGTGAAAGTGTATTTAAAGAAGGAGTTTGAAAAGCATGGTGCCGTGGTAAATGAAAGTCATCATGATGTTTTGGTGGAGGATATTTTTGATAAAGAAGATGAAGACAAAGATGGATTTATATCTGCCAGAGAATTTACATATAAACATGATGAGTTATAGAGATACATGTGCCCATTTTATATGACATGCATCCGTAAAGACAGGACAACCATTTAAAAAAAAAAAAAAAGTCTTACTTTTATATAATGTGCTGTTCTTGTTCTATTTTTTATTTTTATGTATTTTTCTGACTATTATTCGAAGAAGCCCTTAAGATTCCTAAGTGCCCATTTCTTTCTGGTGAGTTATTAGGAAGAAAAAATTAATTTGTCTTTAATAGAAGACTTCTGGACCATTTTCCACTTCCACACATGAAGCCTTCTCTTTTACCTCTTTACTTGTAATTTTAAAATAGTGCAGCTGGGAGCATGTCCAACATAAGACCGGGTTGTAGCACGAATTAGCTCCCCCTATCTACTTCCCTCTATTTTCTCCAAGTTAGACACTAACATTTGAAAAGCCATGTGCAATATCTAGGGCTTACTATTTTCATGTTATAATGAAACAGTGTGTCTGTGACTGCCTTTGAGTCTGCTTAAGCAAAGAGGAAATGGTTGTTGAGCTGGCCTTGTTAGTAGTTACTGCTCTACTGAGGAGATGTGCAATGCTGAAGTGAGTAACAAAGTTAATGACTTATAAATATGTATACATTGAAACCTTCTACCCAGGACTTAGCTGTATAAGGTTCCATTCCTAGAGACTAATAACCTATAATGGTTGATAGGACAAATTATTTATGTCTGGTTCTTTGTAGTAATGTGTCAAAATTTTGTAACTGGGGAAGAGTGTGTTTAGTTAGTGTTTAGTTTTTAAGTCTAGCCAATGACCTTTCCTGATTTATTAATGAATAAAATCTGTATCTAGTGTATTATACTACAATAACATTATATCATGAGGGAAACTTATTTCCCTCATGATATTTCCCATTTCTGCTTATCAAAATATGACACACTCCCACAGCAGCTACTATTGCATAGAAATCTGTCCTGGGTCAAAAAATGGATGATTTTCTAATTTTACCTGAAATTAGCTTTTATTCTTATTTGAAAAAGCCTCCAAATCTTCATTTACTAAGAATAGTTCTTTATTATTTATAAAGTGATCTCAAGTGTATTGTTGTCTTTGATTTTAGTTGTTCTGAAGCCTATGAACAAAGCTGGTGGATCTTAGTGTACCTATTTAATAGATGAGGAAGTTATTCTTCGAGGAGATCGATTGTTTTGCCTGAGGTCAACAGCTAACTTGTGCAACAAGATTGCAGTCCCCAAGTTCAGTATCTTATATTGCCCTCCTTTGACTTCACTGGGCCTCATTTTCTCTTCAATTTGTACTCCCAACAGTCAGTGCTGTTTTTTGTCTTTGGGTCCTTATCCTTTGAAGATGGTTTACTGGCTGTTGGGGGTGCTTTTGAATTCTCCCTCTAATCTAGAACTGGCTCTGGTTTCATTGTTGGGGTTAGCACTGAATTGCCTCAAAAACCCTGTACTGTGAGAGGGTCGAGATATGTGTCTTAGTTCTTTCATTCTTGTTTACCTCTAGTTTTTTTGTTTATTTGTTTGTTTGTTTTTTTAGAGAATTATAAATAATTATTATATCATATACAGGCTATTTTCACTAGTTGTATATTGCATTTTCCTCACTAAAACATAAAGGTCTTGGGAAGAGCATATATAACACCTTTTTCTGATGAAATCAGCTATATGTAGAAAACTCTTAAATTGTCACTGCTGTTTTACTCCCACCTGGAGGAGTTAGGAACCACAGTACTGAAAGCCTTATGCTGTGTTCATTGGAAAGGAACGAGCTTGTCATGGGGTGCTACCTTGTATAGACATTATTGGTTGAGTAGGAAAAGTAAAAATAATTTTGTTTATTTGGGCAGCATATTTCTTTATCTCATGTGAATTTACATTTATTCCCATCTAAATATGTAGTCACAAGTATGAAATGAAAACATACAAATAAGTTATGATGCTTTTAAGTATCTGCCTTTGGTTTAGCTGCAACTTTATGTCTTTCCATTCACCAGAATAATCAGACATGAACGGCAACCTCACTTGTAATATAATTTGACTCATTAATATTGCTAGATGTGTCCTATTTAAATTTATATGACTATGTTATATTTTCAAAATAAACTTTATTTGGGGAATAATTGGTTTTGTGAAAAATTCTTCAAGTACCTGTTTCCTCAGCAGCTTTACTGATGTTCCTAACTATTATTCTAGGGTTTTTTTTTGTTGTTGTTGTTGTTTTTTAATTGTGTTATGTTAGTCACCATACAGTACATCATTAGTTTTTGATGTAGTGTTCCATGATTCATTGTTAGCGTGCTCCATGCAATCTGTGCCCTCCTTAATATCCATCATTAGACTCAACCAGCCCCCTGCCCCCCAGCCACCCACCTCTGAAATCTTCAGGTTGTTTCCTAGAGTCCATAGTCTCTCATGGTTTGTCTCCCACTCTGATTTCTCCCTCTTCATTTTCCCCTTCTCCTAATGTCCTCCATGCTATTCCATATGTTCCACAAATAAGTGAAATCGTATGATAATTGACTTTCTCTGTTTGACTTATTTCACTTAGCAAAGTCTCCTCCAGTCCCATCCACATTGATGCAAAAGTTGGGAATTCATCCTTTCTGATGGCTGAGTAACATTCCATTGTGTATGTGGACCACATCTTTATCCATTCATCTGTTGAAGGGCATCTTGACTCTTTCCACATTTTGGCTATTGTGGACACTGCTGCTATGAACATAGGGATGCATATGGCCCTTCTTTTCACTACATCTGTATCTTTGGAGTAAATAACCAGCAGTACAATTGCTGGGTAATAGGGTAGCTCTATTTTTAATTTTTTGAGAAAATTCCACATTTTTTTTTCCAAAGTGGCTGCACCAATTTGCATTCCCACCAATAGCTTAAGAGGGTTCCCTTTTCTCTACAATTTTTCCAACATTTGTTGTTTCTTGCCCTGTTGAATTTTGCCATTCAGACTGGTGTAAGGTGGTATCTCAGTGTAGTTTTGATTTGAATTTCCCTGATGGCTAATGATGATGAACGTTTTTTCACGTGTCTCCTATCCATTTGTATGTCTTTGGAGAAGTGTCTGCTCATGTCTGCCCATTTTTTTGACTTGGTTATCTGCTCTTTGGGTGTTGAGTTTGAGAAGTTCTTTATAGATCTTGGATATCAGCCCTTTTTCTGTAGCAAATATCTGAAGATATTTGCAAATATCTTCTCCCATTCTGTGGGTTGCCTCTTTGTTTTCTTGACGGTTTCCTTTGCTTTTTATGTTGAAACTAGATGGGGAGGATGGACAAGTTATTTAGGAGAGGGTGACACTTTGAATGTGCCTCTGATTATTTATTCTGTTTAGATATATTTATAAGGAAAGCTGTGTTTCCTTTTAAATTGTTTTGAAATAGAGGCGCCTGGGTGGCTCAGTGGGTTGAGCCTCTACTTTTGGCTCAGGTCATGATCTCAGGGTCCTGGGATCAAGCCCCACCTCGGGCTCTCTGCTCAGCAAGGAGCCTGCTCACCCCCCCAACCCCCGCCTGCATCTCTGCCTACTTGTGATCCCTCTCTCTCTGTCAAATAAACAAATAAAATCTTTTAAAAAAAAATAAATAAATAGTTTTGAAATAAGCATTTAATATTGAGCATTATAGGCAGTAGTTATTAGTGAATGTTTGTTACTGGAGAAAGTGTGTGTGTTGGGTTTTGTTTAGTTGTTCGGTTTTGGTGGTAGTTATCACTATTGTTTTGGTTTGGGATTTTATTTTGTCAGAGATGGACATTATGATTAATGCCCAGAGAGTAAATGAGCACTATAAAAATATATTATGTAATTAAATGAAATGCTGGGTTGCCATAAAAATAATAAGAAAATGATTTCTGATTTAGATGGGGAATTAGCCATTTGAATCTTCACTTGTGGAAAAGAATTTGTACTCATTCATGATTTATAGGATATTCTGTACATCTATAATGCTCTTAGATTTCAGCATGCTATCTGTCCCCACTGAATTGAGTGTATGGGTGATTTCTCAGTGTTGTTTGGAAATTGCAAGAGGAGAAGGGACTTGGTGGAGTGTTATGGGAAAGTCTCTCACCTTTCTACTAAAAAAAATAAATTATTGTAATAGTTACCCTGAGAAAAAATAACAAGGAACTTATTTTCAAGAGATGCAGAAGCACTTGATCAAAAGGGTTATTTTGTTTTGTTTTCGTTTCTTCCCCACTTTTTTTTTAATTGAAATCTAAAATGTCAAGCATGATTATACATTCATATGCCCATTTGAAAACATAAAAATTATAGTACTTCTCTTAATATCTGTAGCATTCTTTTTAGTAAGCTTTGCATAATCCCTTTAGTATAATGAAATCCATACATTCTTACATCTGGTTTTGGAGTCTTTCTTGGAAAGTAAATTCTTTTCTGCCTTTAAAATACTGTTTTGGGAATACCTGAGTGGCTCATTTGGTTAAGCGGCTGCTTTTGGCTCAGGTCATGATCTCAGGGTCCTGGGATCAAGTCCCGCATCACGTTACTTGCTCATTAGGGAACCTGCTTCTCCCTCTGCCTGCTCTGCCTGCCACTCCCCTGCTTGTGCTCTCTGTCTCTCTCTCTGACAAATAAATAAATAAAATCTTTTAAAAAAATTGTTTTGCTTTGGGGCTCGGGGTGTCTTAAGTGTCAGACTCTTGATTTCGGCTCAGGTCAAGATCTCTGGATCGAGTCCTGGGTCTTGGGGCTCCCTGCTCAGTGGGGAGTCAGCTTGAGATTCTCTCCCTCTGCCTCCTTCACCTCCACCCCATGCTCTTGCATTCTTGCTCTAAATTTAAAAATCTGGAAAAAAAATATTGTTTTGCCTTTGCTTTTAGCCCTGCCTCTGATATCTCCAGCTCCAGGCTGACAGCAGAGAAAGACCCTTACAAACCTTGGTTTCATAGTTCTACCCTCAAATACAAGGAGAGGTATGCTTTGGTTCCCAAATGTTGCGGAAATGTAGCAGTCATTCAAATTTAGTGTACACCAGAATTGCATGGAATATGTGTAAATACAAGGAGAGGTATGCTTTGGTTCCCAAATGTTGCGGAAATGTAG